GCCGTGAGGGAGAGCACATCCCTCCACCACTACAAAAAATTGTGGATTTGATGACGCTAATTAGACGATGATTTTATACAAACCGTTGTCAAACGTGCAATTAAAAACACGGTGTTGACATGTCAACTATAGACGACAATTTTTTTTAAAAATCGTCATCTAATACTGGTATCCTTAATGACGATTTTTCATAAAACCGTCGTTGAATCTAGTTTTTAACCCAAAAAAACTTCATTTCGCAAAAATTCACTTGAAAATTAAAACGCCCGCCCACTAAGTTATGCTGCCAATCTCTCTACCCAGACAGCGCCGCCACCCCAAATAGGCCCCTTCTTCCTTCCATTCGCCACCGTTCTCCTTCCGTTTGCCACTGTATTCTCCATAAATCTGGGAAGGGCCACAAATCCGTGAAGAACGTCAAGTAAATTTCATTAATTTTCTCATTTTTTGTATAAATTTGATTAAAAATGAAGAAAATAGCTTAGATTTTATGGGTTTGAGTATCATAGATGTTGGATGTTTGTTGTTTGATAAAATTTATTTATGTTGATGATGAAATTAGTTTAACTTTGGTGATTTTGAGTAATATGGGTGTTGAGTTTTTGGTTTTTTCGTGAATTCGTTATGTAGATGATGAAATTTGTTTAGGTTTTGTGGTTTTGAGTAATATGGGTGTTGTTGTGTGTCTTAAATTTGTTATGTAGATAATGAATTTTGTTTATATTTTATGATTTTGAGTAATATAGGTGTTGGGTGTTGGGTTTTAATATATTATTTTGAGTAATTCTATGATTTATGTGTTTGGGTAAGTGAGATATTTATTGTTTGATTTTTTATGTAGCAATGGATAGGAAATGGATGTTCGCAAATAGGTTGAGTAATGAATATAAGGAAGTGGTTGAAGAATTTATTTCTTTTGCAAAGAATACAATGAAGGAATATTATTCGTTGTCCATGTGTGCAATGTGGCAATATTAGAAGACAATTGATGCAAGATCTTAGAATTCATTTGTTCCAATATGGCATTGATCGGACTTATCAAACATGGATATGGCAAGGTGGAAAGGTTTCAAGTTCAACTTCGGCGGTTAGGGGAATTGAGAGGAATGACATTGATATTGATCATAAAGATGATGGAAGTGACATGGTTCATATGATTAATGATATGGAGGAAGAATTTGTACACCGACCGGAGTTATTTGAGAAGATGATGAATGATACGGAGACGTCATGGTATAATGGGTATAAGAAGTATACTAAATTGTCCGGATAAATTAGATTGTGGAACTTGAAGGCGTCGAGTGGGTGGTTAAATGCAAGTTTCACAGGACTCTTAAAATTTTTAAAAAATTCACTTTTGGATAATAATCGAGTGTTGGGTTCTATGTATGAGGCTAAGAAGACATTAAGCTCTGTGGGGATGGAATATGAGAAAATACATATGTGTTTAAATGATTGTGTGCTATATCAAAAAAAAAAATGTGAAAACTTGGACGAGCGTCCGGTGTGCCATGAGTCTAGGTGGAAGAAAGGTAAGAAACCGTCCAACGGGACAAAAGGTATGTATGGTGAAGGTGTTATGGTACATTCCGATCGAAACAAGATTAAAGTGATTATATCAAAATTCAGAGCATGCTAAAAATTTAAATTGGCATCATGATAAATGGGTTAACGATGACATGCTACGACACCCCACCGATTCTCCATAGTGGAAGACATTTGATGCAAAGAATCCAAATTTAGTGCGGAACCTAAGAATGTCCGCCTTGCATTGTCGGCTGATGGGATGAATCCATATACTAATTTTAGCAGTAAACACAGTACTTGGCCCGTCATCCTTGTAAACTACAATCTTCCGCTAGACTTATGTATGAAGCGAAAGTTTCTAATGTTGACCTTATTAATTTCTGGACCTAATCAACTAGGAAATGACATTGATATCTACTTGGCACCGTTGATTAATAAGTTGAGGGGATTGTGGGAAAGTGGGATCGAAGTTAACGATCGTTTCCGGGATGATTCCTTCGTACTCCGAGCAATGTTGATGTTGACCATTAATGACTTCCTTGCATATGGAAACCTATCTGGGTACTCGGTTAAGAGTTTCATAAGTTGTCGTGTTTGCATAACAGAGACATCTTTGATCCCGTTGAAACATGAAACGAAGACGGTGTATGATGGCCATAGGAGATTCTTGCTTATGAATCATCGATACCACAAACAAAGAAAAGCTTTTAATGGTAAAACAGAAGAAATACCACCTTTAAGACCTTTGACATGTAAACAAGTGTTTGAGATGGTCAAGAACGTAAAAGTGGTCTTCGGGAAGAAGAAATAAATAAATAATGAGCCGGTGATTGGACCTTGGAAGAAAAAGTCAATTTTCTTTGACCTTCCGTTCATTGTTAATTCATCATTGCTTGGATGTCATGCACATTGAGAAGAATGTTTATGAGTCGATAGTTGGCACGCTACTTGACATCCCTGGTAAAACTAAAGACGACCTTAATGCATGGTTAGATCTCATGGAATTGAACATTAGAGGTGACTTGGCTCCTGAAAAAAGAGGCTCCCGCACTTACTTACTCCAGCTAAGTACACATTATCGAGACAAGAGAAGAAGAAATTCAATGAATCACTTGCTTTTGTCAAAGTTCCAGAAGGGTATTCATCTAACTTCAAAAACTTGGTGTCGGTGAAAGAATTGAAGCTGACTGGCATGAAGACACATGATTGCCATATTTTGATGCATCAACTGTTGCCACTTGCTTTGCATGAGATTTTAACAAAGGATGTAAGATTTGCACTTTCTATGTTTTGCTACTTCTTCAACTCCATACGTTCCAAGGTAATAGATCCAATGACGCTGGATACACTACAATTAAAGGTGGTGATGACCTTGTGCATAGAGAAGTATTTTCCACCATCATTCTTCGACATCATGATACATCTAAGGTACATTTAGTCTGTGAAGTTAGGCTTTGCGGGCCGGAGGGTTGCATCATTGAAAGTTACATAGTTGAAAAAGCTGTGAAATTTTGCTCAGAGTACTTGTCTAATGCAGAAGCAATTAGTTTACCAAATAAGGTAAACATGGAGCCAAAAGGTAAATCTACAGGTATTCCCTCCTCGGTTCAAGCATGTCTCTATGTGCTACGTAATGTTCGTGTGATGGAACCATACATAGATGTCCACAAAAAATAAATAAAGGCGGCAAACCCAAAAAGAGGAAAAAATGAGAAGTGTTTGCAAGATGAACATAACCAGACATTTAGAGAGTGGATAAGGACACACATTTACTCCAAGGTTCGCGAGTTAGGAAATGAAGGTGTGTCGGAAGACTTGTTTAAGCTAGCCGGAGGACCCTCGTCAACGGTAATGAAATACACATCATACTCAATAAATGGCTATACCTTCTACACTCGGGAGAAAGATAAGAAGCGCCCGGTCTAAAATAGTGGTGTTAGTCTCCGTGCTGATGTTATACATATTTCGTCTGTAAAAGACAAGAATCCCGTATATGGAACAATGACCTACTACGATTTTGTGGAGGACATATGAGAACTTGACTATTGTAGATTATGGGTGGCACCTTTTATGTGTAAGTAGGCCGACAATAATTATATGAAAGTTAATAGTGACGGCGCTACAGTGATTGACTTTCGAAGTATGGGTTACAAGAAAGATCCTTTCATTTTGGCAACACAAGCAAAACAAGTTTTCCATACAACCGATTCCAATGATTTGGAGTTATCCTTAGTTGTTCCCATGAAGTCAAGAGCTTTTCGTTCCATTTGTGAGTAGAGGCTTGGCACCCGTTGACAAGGTTGATGTTTTTTATGATGATGATGATTCAAACCTTGTCTGCTTAGATGTTGAATGGACATGGGTTGAAAATAATAGTAAGAGAAAAAATGATAAACTATATGTTGTTGTAATTTATATGAACATTTAATTAATATGTTGTTGTAATATTGATCATAAACTATATTTATTGATGTATTATTTAATATTTATAATTCATTTTTAATTTAAAATTTAAAATTTTATTTTGCAGTTATAATGGTTCTGTGAATTGTTGCCAAAAAGCTTATAAAACACGAGATTAATAGGCCAACCTGTGGGACAATAAAAAAATAGCTCAAATTTTTTTATTTAGGAAGAACATATAACGACTTTTTTTTCAAAAAACCGTCGTTAAATCTCAACATTAGATGACAATTTTATTATAAAGTTGTCGTCTAAAATACGCGTCAAGTCTATTATTGTCGAGATAAGACGACGGTTTACTAAGAAAACCGTCGTCTAATGTAATTTTTAACGACGGATAAAAACCTTCGTTATATGCCACATGCATTTAACGACTCACGATTAGACGACGATCTTTTAACGATAGTTATTAACAGTCGTTAAATACCATATTTCTACTAGTGACCTCTCATCTCCCTTCTCCTCTATCTCTAACCAAACAAGTGATTAGTCCTCTCCCTCCACCCCTCTCCATCCCTCTCCATCCCTCCATCTCTCTCTATCCTTCCATCTCTCCCTCTAATCAAACACACTCTAAGTTTAAACTTTTTAAACTTTATAGACTAAAATGAGATTGACGATAAAATTCAGTGACCATTTATGAGATTAACTCTATAAAATAAACACGTGTCTCTAAATGGAAGTTGTACACTTGTTTGGAGAAGTACCACTCACATAAAATACATAACAAGGTGAGAGAAGAGGAGCACTAGTACTGGGAACATGTGTTGTAAGAGAATAAATAAACAAATAAGTAAATAATAGAAAAAAAAAATATCAGAGCTTAGAAAAGTACTAAAAGAACTGTGCTTTGGTAAGTGGGTAGGGTCCCCATGTTTGGTTGCTAAGTTGTGAGTGGGCTATGGAAGTTTTTTATGTGTGAAACTGAGGAGGTCACAGCAGTCTTTCTTTCATCTTTTATATATATATATATATAGAGAGAGAGACACACACACACACACACAATTACAACTCTCCTCTTCCTCCTCCTCATAGTACTCATATCTCTCCCTTAGTCTTCTTCTTGGTCCTTCACAAAACATTATAATTAACACAAAGATGAAACGGAATTCTCACGCGTTTTTCATCTTTTTGCTCTTTGCTTTCCTTGTTTGCCACTCACAAGCTCGCTTCCTTGCTGCGGAACAAGGTATGTTATCTCTCTCTCTCTCATGTGTATATGTATGTAATCTAAATATTCGGTGTTTAATATCCTTTTTCATGATGCCGTGCTTTTTCTTACCTGAAATTCTTTTTCTTTCCTCCAAAATATGATCAACAGTTGAAGAAAAGAAGAGTCATGACGAGATTAACATACAACGTGAAGGTTCATTTATAGGGATAATAAGAGAGCATGATCTTTTAGACGTACGTAAAGCCCCTCTTTCTCTCCTCTCTGTCTATTTACACATAACATATATATATATATATAGCGCATCCATATGCATATTATTTTTTTACATGTATTTAATTTCTTTTTTTTCTTTATTTTATTTTCAGCTTATGGGATCTGCAGATGGATGCATTGCGGAAGACGAAGAATGTCTCAAGAGAAGGATGATTGCAGAGGCCCACTTGGATTACATTTACACCCAACACCATAAGCCTTAGATATATTATTATTATGTTATATTATATACTTTATATATTCCTCAAGCATATTAATTATGTGTGGACTTCGTTTCTAGCTAACTAAGATATGTTAGTTGTGCGTGTGCCAGGATTTCAAGCAAGAAAGCTCTTCTTAAATATGTTAGGAAGAAACCAATATCAGAAAAGGGCTTGTTATAACTATTACATATAATTAATATATCATATATATATATAGAATCTCCCATATATATATATATATATATATATGTATGTATGTATGTATATTTTTATTGTACGCCTTATGATCTATCTATGAATTTCTGTCTTGTTTTGACTTTTTACTTGTATATAGTACTACTGCAGCTGCGTGAAGAGAGAGAGAGAGAGATAACAGATACGTGTTAACTAATTTTATATATCACATGAGAGGCTAAGATTAATTTGTGGCTAAAAGAAACTACAACGCATAATGTTGATTAAAAGATGAAAAAAATAATGCTAGAGAGAGAGAGAGAGAGGACTCAGATTATTTGTAATGGGAAATTATCAAACGATCAGCAATGCTAAAAAATCATTAATGAAGTTATATAATTAACATTAATACATAGATATTAGTATGTCAAAAAGAAAACAAAGAAAACAAAGAAAACAAAGAAAACAAATTGGTGACGAGAAGAAAAGGGGGTTTTTTTTTTTTTTTCCTGGCAGAGATTTTGGTTACGCTACTTCACAAGGTATACAAATCTATTGATAAACATTCTGTTCTAAGTAGCAACGGGACACTTTTTGAGTCATGAAAATGGAATCGTTTCTAATGGGGGCTAGAAATTAGAATGCCCACACCACACTTCAATGTCATTTTCTAAGGTTGTTGGAAACTTACAAAAATCAAACCCTAGTTTGTTTCAACAATCACAACTTACTGTGACAAAAGAAAAATTAATGAACTACTAGTAATTCTTTACTTTTCAACTGCTAAATTTGTAAAAAAAAAAAAAAATTAATTATTCTGTTTACTTTTTTAATTTAATGTATTTTGACTAAATCCAACGGTTAGAAATTAGTACTACCAATAGAGAAGCTTAACCGAGAAAGTCTCTTTTGTTTTTTTCCTGTTGTTAATGTTGGGATATATGCCCATAAATCAAATAAGATGTAAAAATTTTGCTGATTATTAATGAAATGAGAAATTTTTTCAATATTATTTTGCATGCATGTGATGTTTTATAAATATCAAAATCTCTAGATTATTTTAGATGTAACTTTAAACATTGTATATAAGTGTTATATGCAGAGGATAATGTTTGAAGTAAAATAATCTAAACTTATCCATAATTATAAATTAAAGTTGGGATCTTTAATTTAAAATTACTAATGCGGTTCATTACAATCTAAGTGAAATAATCTTATCCTAGATTGTTAATAATGAGATTATTGGAATGAAAGCATTTTATGTAATATGATTACATAAGACCGGAACGCGATTAATTATGAATCTCTAATAAATTCCGTTATTAAATAGAGTATTCAATATTAATCAATGATGATCATATATGAATTAATCTTAATTCTGAGTAATTAATAGACTTCTATTTATGATATTATGTTCTTTGACATATTGAGTAATGACACATGTGAATAGTGTCAAAGTCTTGGTATATTGGGAGCATAGTAAAATAAATAGCCAGGAATATTAATTTACAAGATGAAATCCATTCCTTCGTAATGAAGTAGATGGACGGTTCCCATAAGTGTTGATTCGGGGCTTAAATAATAAGAGCGCTCAATTTTATGATTTAATCATAAAATATATTATCATTAGAGGATCAATGGTACTTATGGAGAAAGATATAATTAAAGAGGTCAACGGAAAATACCTAGCTTTAATTATGAACCGTTTATGGATGATTAATTCGTATGTAGTGACTATATCAACAGACAACACAAATTCCATGAACATAATTATTTTATAATTTTAAGAGTGCAAATCAAATTTATAGTGGAGTAATTTAGAATTAATAATTTTGCTATATTAATTAAGGTTTTAATTACTTGTCAAAATTATTATAGCTTAAAATTATAATGTCTATTCTCTCAACGGCTCCATAAGATTAATGTGAACTGAATATATCATATTGGGTTATGATTATTAATTTAGAATATAGAATTCTAAATACACATATATTAATTAATTTGATAAATTAATATTAAAATTAATTTAAAATTGTTTTAAATTAATATGGATGAATTTAGTCATATATATATATAAAAGAAAGGAAATGTGAAGCTAAGAAGCGCACGTTTCCTCACTCAAAATAAAAAAATAAAAAAAAAGTGGGAGGAAACGTGATGTTGCACGTTTCCTCGGCATGAGGAAAAGAAGTGTACATTTACTGGTAGAGGAATCAATTTTTGTTTTGTTTTTTTCCTCAGAGAAAGAAAAGGGAGATTTCCAGAGAAAAGAAAGAGAGAAACGGGAGAATAAAAAATAAAACCAAAAAAAAATTTCTTGAGTGCTATCACATACTTTTGAGAAAAATGAATAATAACTATAGGTGATCTCCATATTCATCCATCTCATGTGTTGAAAAACTCATTAAAACGCCCACACATTCGACTTCACATTAATCCGGAGATAGGTTGAGAAAGAACCGTGGTGTTCTTAGAATTTAAGAGCTCAAGACGGTGTTGGAGGAGTTCAAGATTTACGTCCTCATCGAACGACGGTAAAATTTTTCTTCTTCTCTTTAATATCTTTGTAGTTAAATTGACATGAAATAATGATCGCATAAATTTTGATTTATGTGATTCGATCGATATCATGCTTCCACACAATTTTTTTTAAAAATCCGGTTTTAGAAACCAACAATTAATAATTCAGTAGCATTTTCTCTTTCTTGTTTGGGTCAAATATTTCGGCCGTATTTGGAATTGATCCCATTTTTATTTTTCACGTTTTTTGAGAAAAAAATAAAAACGTTTCTAAAACGGCGTTTGGCGCAATAAAGACAAAAAACGGAAATGAAAACGATTTTTTGGTTTAGTGTCAAATGAGAGAAAAATGAAAAATGACTTTTTGTCGTTTTTCATTTTTTGTTTTCGTTTTCTCCTCTCTCGAGCAGAGAGAGAGAAAGAGAGACATTAATGGTTTTTTTACATTCAAAATAATCTCTTGATAAAACTACCAAACGCATTTTCAATAATAATTTATGTCTGAGATTGAAAACGTTTTCATTTTCATTTGCATATAAAAAACAAAATCATTTTGGAACGAGTTCCAAACGCGCCCTTCATTTTCGCTAACAGTATTCACATGTAAATAAGATGTCCACGTTATTTCTAGTTACAAAACAAATGGGTTTAAATTGTTTATATATTTCTGTCAAAATATATATATATATTTGTTATTGTTTTTTATGCTTTAGGGATGATGATAAAAATCTCCTTTGTGTTTAATCAAGATACGAGCATTCAACTTTAATCTAAAAATGCTGGGACTATATCACATATTTTCTAGGCTTATTACACTGAAATTCTCAGTGTTTTATTAAAATAACAGAAATATCCTTTTAACCAAAACTAATTACGTCAACACCACCTCTTCTTAACTTTGTTAACTTTTAAAGAAAAAATGACGAAAATACCCTCTTAATTTCAACCATTAATGTGGGAATTTGGGTTATAAGAAACTAGAATGAAAATTATGATTAAGTGTGTGTGTGTGTGTGTGTGTGTGTGTATATCAATTAATCTCATCTTTGAGTTAAATATGAGTTAAAATATCGTTTCATAATCCTATAGCACTTGGAAATGTTTTTTTATTCAACTTAGGGTATTTTGATTTTTTTTTTTTTTAAATTTAAACACTCAACTAACATAAAGGGTGTCTCTGTCAATTTTTTAAAAAAATAAAAGAGTATTAACGTGGTTAGATTTGATCAAGGGAGTGTCTCTGTTATTTTAGTAAAACACAGGAAGTATAAGTGTAATAAGCCTTATTTTGCTAGTCACACAAATTCTATTATTCACAAAAAAAAAAAAAAAAAAAAAGACAATCTAGTTAATCTTAAGACTGCAAACTTTGTCAAGGAGTAAGGACTTAACAAAAGTCCATTTTTTGAAGGTTTCTGCTGTCATTCTTATGCTTATTGTAATATTGGGCGTAAGGAATCACCCCGAACCCGACTAACACAGCCTACCCGACCCTACCTTACCCGAAATATAGGGTTTTCTTTTTTTCGATTTGTAATTAGCCCAACGCGTAATAGGTGGGTAGGGTCACGGGCCCAAGCTCCAAAAACCCCATGTAACCCTACCCGACTGAAATAACCCTCTGCATGTTTAAAAAAAAAAAAAAAAAAAAAAAAACCCTACACGTTCTCAGTCCTCACCTACAGAGTACAGCCCGTCCTTTCTTTCTTGTTTCTCCTAACTCACATCGCAAGCGCCACTCCTACTTCTCTGCCTCTCTCAAATTTGAGTCTCACTTCGTTTCTTTTTCTTCTTCTTCTCAGTCTCTCTCTCGCCGTTTCGAGCCGTCAGCCTCTAAGATTTTCTGCCGTCAAGAATCAAGATTAAGCTACTTTCAGGTTGGGATTTTGTAACATTTCTATAATAAGCTGAACATTTTTTCTTTATTAGATTATTTTCATTTGATTTTTTTTTTTTTGTGAGATTCGTAAGGACTCCCTTCCACTACGACTTCCAAAACTTGGCCACGGAGAAGGCGAGAACATTTAGTCTCTGCTAACCCAGAATACCGCTCTTTCCCATAGTGTATCCATGCAAAAGCAACAATTCAGCAAAGAATCACCCTATTTGGAGTTGGTTTACCGGTGGAAAAGCAACAAATAAGGCTGAAATAAGTATGAAATAAGTAAATTTGGAGTTGATTTACCTGAAGTAACCCGGCCAACTCGAGGTTACCTGAGGTAACCGAATAATATACGGGTTTTGAGATTAATTCACATGTTACGGCCCAGCGTTTTCTCAGAGCAATTATTGCGGGCCGGCCCAACTAAACCCAAAAACCGACCCTACCCAACCGACTTTCACCATAAGGGAGGATGGAAATTATTATTTCGTCGTCGTCGTCGGACTCCTGCCGTCATAATCATTTTAGTTCAAACTCATTTTCGAAGCGTTTACAAAACGGTATTCATGAATTACGACGGATTTTACAAGAAAACCTCCACCATCTTATAAATAAAACTTAAGTCAAATGCTTATTCTGAATCTGAACCTTACTTACAATTCAGGAATAAAATTGTGTCAAAAAGAGTAAAGATATTTATTTTCACAGTTATCAGAAGCATGAGAGAGGGCACGCAAAGTTCATTGATGCAAAGGAAACATTATCAAGACGCAAACACTTCACACGTAAAGCAACTAGTATAGATCAATATTAAACTTCAGAACCAAAAATTAAAAATAAAAAATAATAACACACAAAATAGGAAATCCAAAGTAAATATGACATTAATGAATAATAAGCAAGTCTCATTTATGAATGTTCTCAAAAGCTGCAGAACAAAGAAGCCATATTTCAATATTGTCCAGTCACATATTTCTCAGCATCCCAAAAACATTGCAAGCAACCATATGCTCCACTAAAAACGGGTAACTAAACCAAGCGAATGGTAATTAAAAAAAAAAAATTCTATAAAGAAGCAAATGCTGTCGGTGTTGCAGTAATACAGACGCATGCTAATTGCCAATTGCGAACTATGTAGCCGAAACCAAAACGACATGTTCAGAAAGTCCTTTTCTCTTGTTTTGCTTGCATCAGATGCTGGTATCAAGCGTGGTCGCTTCAGAAAGTGAAAAAAGAAACAAAGAAAAGGATAAGGAACAAGAACACAACAACCATGTTAGAGAGATCTTTAAAATACGAACCATCTGGCTTCTGTGTGTAATTTTTCCTCCTCAAACTTTGAATTTAAACAAAAAAGTGACGGGGGTAACCAAAAATATTTAAAAAAAAAAAAAAAAGGATCTAGAGCAAGAACAGCTAGCTAAGAGCTCTCACCATCATTCTGAGGCACAACAAAATTAGCATCTAGTGAACATGTCTATTTAAATTACACAAGTAAACCTGGATTTTCATTTATCAGATCCTGCCAATTGGCCCAGCATTAGAAGCTCGGAAGGTTGTGTCCTCTGCCTTGAAGCGTTAAACATCCATTTCCTGCTAACATGTAAAAATTTATCAATCTTGATCGGAAATCATTTAAACTATCTAAGGAGGTACAGAATAACAACACTAAGAAAACACTACCGTCTTAATCCTGCTGACAAGCCCCAGATCTTGGAGTGAACATTCCGATATACAATTCGCGTGTACAATGGGACCCTTTCGTGAGCCCTCGCCGTTACTTCCTGTCTCACCAGTTGCTGATGGAATGATCATGTGCATCGCTCCCTTGAACATCCACTCATCCCTTTCTTGACAATAGAAATCTTCAAAAATCTCACCACAAAGGACACATACGCATTGACTCTCATCTGCAACAACCATCGACTCACCCTTGTCCGTCTTGCCAGGTTTGTCCACTGATTTTGCAGACTCCAATCCCGATGAAAAGCCTGCTACTCCATTAATCCAGTCTGATGGGTTAGCATACCACATCCTTGATGCCTTGGTAGGACCATTAGCATCTAGCTTTTTTGTATTATGCCACTCCAAGTGTCTAGTCAACCGTTCTTTAAGTTTAAGTTGAAGACCACACATGTTACATTGGTGTTCAAATCCATCGAGGAGATCACTAACAACAGATGGATGAAATTCCCGGACCACATCTGGTTTAAAGTCAAAGCCTATGAGGTTCTTTATTTCCAAGTTGGTTGACTTGGTTGACTCATCTGGTTTAAAATCAAAACCTATGAGGTTCTTTATTTCCAAGTTGGTTGACTTGGTTGACTCAGGCAACGAGACGGGGCTATCAGCAGTAGGTTCTGAGATAGATGAATCATCTCTGGTAGATGAGACGGTGGAACCTGAAACTAAAGACACTGGCACAGAACCGGTGCCAGTAATGCTTGGGCTCTTCTTTTGAGTTTCAGTAGGAACCACTGGTGGAATTGCCTGGGGTGACTCTTTCTTCGATGCAGATATCAAACCCTTCGCCACTAAAGAGCTCAGAAGGTTTGAAATTGGATCAGGGGTGTTATTCGCAACGCTTGAAGCATTTTCCGATGCACTCCTTAAAGGAGACGATGAAGGTGGTGGACCAGTTGGGAGAGGTGCCGACTGTGTTTTCTTTTGGAATATCTTTGAGGACACTGACAAGCCATCATGGGAAGAATGACTTATTGAAGATGTTGATGTAGCCTTTGACCCTAGGTTTGTATGAGTACCAGTTGGCAAGGGAGGCTGACCTGCCTGTGATGGCAATTGTGCAGAGCTCTGAAAGTTCAGGTTGGATAGGCTACTAGTGGTAATTGAACTGTTAGAAAGAATTCCAGACTTCATAACAGCAGCCAATAGACTACTTGTGCTCGAGTCTCCCGAAGTTTCTACGGCAAGAGCATTCAAGCGGTCTGGTGCAGAACTACCTAGTGTCGCTGGAGGTCCAGAATTTGAAGCTTGAGGTAGAGGGAGTTTCTGAATTTGACCCAAGGGTTCAGAGTCTGTAGAGTCTTCTACTTGCTGCAGAAAAGGATACTGGTGCCTTGGCGGCATATTATGGTGTTGTGATTTAACCATCTTGTTCAGTCGAACATGGGAAGGTAGAACAGGCAAAGAGTCCTGAGCATACTGGTTATGCACCTCCCTGGTCGACTGCCCCAACGATTGGGATACTTTAGAATCAGGATGAGCAGGGGACTGGGCTTTTGCACGGTCTTGCTCGGTTAAATTTTGCAATTGAAGATGAGGACGGCGTGCTGATAAAGTAGGTGAGGGTGAGCGCTGTCTCAATGTCGGAGGGGGGAACCGCTGTTGAGTTAGAGCTCCAGTAGACCCTGGTACAGAATTTGTCGGGAAGCCAAAGCTTGAAGTCCCAGAACGAGACAAGCCATCAATTGAATGTGATTCCTGTGACAACCATGGAGATGATATCCGGTTTTGTTCAACAGCAAATGTATCTGCAGAAACTTCTTTATTGACCCTTGATGCATAATCACGTATGCTTAGTGGTTTATGGATGTGATCTTCAAACCCCTGGCAAATGTGTGTGATAGAACATTAGTAGACATGAAAGAAAGTCCAATCTCCAGACTAACAAAGAAAAAAATTGGAGCGATTTCTCTCAAAATCAAGGTAAATACAAGTTATGAAAGGAAACTTACGGATTTGTCTGCATCCTCATAAGCTGAACGATCTACTCTAAAGTTAGTAGAAATATCAGATGCACCATGGTCTGTCAATCTAGAGTTCATATCATCCCACGTGAATTCTTCTTCCTCAGAATTCTTCCAACTGCTGCTAGCAGCAGCACCACTCCTTCTACTTGAGATATTTTGTGCCGACTGCAGCTGAGTATTAGCACTTATAGATTTAGGTCCTGGATAATTTGGGAATCCATGCTTGATATTGAAACTATTTCTTTGACCAGATACTGATTCTGCAAAACTGCTACCACCTCCATGCCAAACTTTCTCATTTCCTTGTTCTGCAATCCTCCCACTAGCTCTTACAATCCCCAGGCTGGAATTCCTTGGAAGGTCAGAGCTATAGTCATAGTCCGGAGACTCTACACTGATGTTCTTCTCGTGGATAACCTCACTTGTAGTACCTCTAGTTGAACGCTGCAAATTCTGCAAGCTTTTACTGTATCAACAAAAGCACAAGGAAGAGGGAAAAAATGAATACAATTGCTTTACCTACATGCATTTTAACAGACGGATCAACCCATGATCTTCCAGTACCGATACTTGTTGCTCTCTCCATACTCTCTGCATCCTCAATTGAGTTTGCAATAGACCCAGAGACATCGCTAGAAAGTTCTTTTGCCTTCATCAGAAAGACAAAACCAGAAAAAATAAGTTCTCCAACTATCCCTTGATATTTAACAACATGATTAACAACGAACATGAGAAAAAAAGCGTATAATATGTGACTGCTATTTGCCCCTATAAACGAGTAAATCCTTTTGTTCTCAATTATAAGTTAGATACTACAAACCAAGCTAGCAGAGGCAGCATTCAGTAAACTGCCAGAGTACTGGCTTTTTGCTTTTTCAACAAGGTTGTTGAACAGACATTTCTTTGGCAAGTTAACTAGATCAACGTACTAAACAAAACTCAAAATTCCATTTGCAAGTAAACAGAAAGGTTGTTCCTTCAACTAGTGGTAGGCTGCACTTGTACATAAAGTCAATAGCCTGGGTGTACATAATATCAGCTCACATATATGTTCTTAGCATGGTACGGTTTCTAATATCCATTTGTTATGGTATTTTAGCACACTAATGACAAGACTTCACAAAATTGCCAGTAATAAAATAAAGATGGATGGGATAACTAGTTACCAAAGAGATGTACATGAAATAGAACCTCAAGTTCATGATCCCATAACAGAATTGGCTTTAACATTCCACTTACCCTATTTGGCTGCTGAAGACGCTGCCTTTCCAAATACTTGGGATTCACATGAATGCTATTCTGTAGTGGACGATTTGATTGTGTTTCAGGCCTAGATGTTGCAGCTCCAGTAGATGATCCATTTGCTGCAGGAGCAAAATCAAGTTCTTTCTCAATGACCCTAAGTGTCTGGAGAGGAAACACTCCCTTCCATGTTCCAAAAAGATGCCGCATGCTTTGATGTACTGAAGGCTCCACCTGCTTGTACGCCTTGCAGAATACCTAAGAAGTGCATAGAAAAGGGAGAGATTGGTAACTACAAAGTAAATACTAAAAAATAATAATAATCAAGGCTAGAGACTATATTGACCAACAGGCATGCCAAAACATTAGAGGCAAGGTTATTTATATGGCGGGCAAGAGGTAGTTTGATTGGCAATGAACACAGAAGAGCATACCATGCTTGCTTTTGGTAAACAATTTACCTTGATTTCATTAAGCAGCAAGAGTTCATAAGAATCTTGTCAATTACTCTTTCAGACCATAAAAAATTTATGGCTCATTTATCCAAAAGCTCTGAGAAAGCAAAGACCACAAGCAAATCTAACCTCAGGTAATCTGGCAGCAAAGTTTTTTATGTACTCCCCTCCGATATTCTTTACGATACTGTCTAAAAGATAAAGTGATGGTAGCTTTTGCTCACTAGGTACCTGCAAATTACCTCTCAAAATTAGATACATAAACCACTCCAGTCAATTTGCTTTAAACAAATAAGTGATTAAGATCCTAACACCACAACATAGAGGATGGTGAAAAAATAAATTCCTGCTTCGCCAGAAAGCACTAAAGTCGCTTTCTAAGATGCTAAAAGGAACCAGCAAAACATTTGTATAATAGCACACGACAGACAGCCTAGCAAACTTGTTGCTTATGACATTCAGACATTATTCCAAATAATGCCACCATCTTTGGAATTGACGGCATACTATCAAAAATCCTGCAGTTTACTTGCCTTTACAGAACCAACAATATAATCTACTATCTATGCAAAGAAAAAGTTATCCACAATGTGTCAGACACACCAGTAGATCGCATCCATGCAAGTTGATCATTTAAAGGAACACAACATAAAAAACAACATATTCCACAAAACTAATGCCACAGGGTTAGCCGACGCCACATAAAAGAATAAAGAACTGAAATGTGAAATTCCTGCAAGAAAAAAGTCTGGCTGTGCTTCTATCTCCCGATGAAGTCCTGATATACAATTACCAAAATGAAGAAAGAGATGAAGAGCAGACTGAGCTATCCTGATCAAAGCTTATGGCAGACTTTTCAGCTTCAAACCTGTTACAACCCAATTTCTATAATCCCATACAACCAGAATAGTCACTCTTCGAATAGAAGAGCAAGAAAAACAGCTCTAGAATTGTTGGAACTTCAACCTATTTGCTAAACCAATATGAATACAATGGACTGGCAAATTTGGGATAAGCTAACAGAATGCCATGTACCGAACCCATATGAACAACTGGGGAAATTTTCCCATAAGCAAAATTTGCCGCAACTTAAAAATGTTTACCCAAAAGATAAAATTGATTCAGCGTTACATTGTCCTCATACTCTCCTCACTGGCATTCAACTTGCTCACTAGTAACGTAATCACACTAATAATAACGTTACGGTATTTGAACCAAGGCCAAAATTAACAACTTTTCTCAATGCATAGAATTTCACACGATCCAAGATAATCATCAATCGTCATCTTCTCCACAACAAAGCAGCAGAATTTCCACAAAACCGCAAAAATTCCATTAATTTGAACTTCACATGTACAACACTGGCTAATCTTCTTCTTTCCCGCTAAACTAATGGCCGTAAGACACGAATCATAAAAAACTAAGCTTTCGTCCGCACTATTTTTTTCTGTACAATCCAATTCATAAAAAAGCTAGATTCACCTCTAGAATGTTGGCGCAAACAGTGGCGGCTATCGCCTTCGCTGCGTGGACGCTCTCGCCGGCGATTATCGTCAAACTCGTGATGATCGGCTTCGAATTGAACGTCAGCTCCGCCAGCGCCGCCTTGTACTGGCTCACGAGCTCCTGGTGCGGCGGCGGCTGCGGCTGATAACCTCCACCGCCTCCGCCGCCGACACGGCCCAAATCGTTGCTCTCCGAATCTCTATCCGCCACTCTATACCTCGAGACCAAGGGATTCTGATTCGCAATCGGTCTTTGCGCGAAAGTTCTGGCGTTCGGATTCGCGGTCGGACCTCGCTCCGGCTCTTCGGTCAATCGGGGCTTCTTCAATCCCGGTTCTCTGGATCTGTCGAAAGGCCGTCGCGAGCTCTCCATCTCCATTACCGCATAAAAAAATCCACAAGAAAAAAAAATCCTGAAACTCTATTCCAAAACAATCTAATCTTCGAATTACAGTATCAAAATTAGGCTTTCATTAAGCCAACAAAAAAAAAATTGAAGATTCAATATCAAGAAATTGAAACGCTAATAAAAGAAAAACTAATTATAAAAAATAAAAAAAATAAAAAAAAAACATGAGATTATGTATTGCACATGAAGAATCGGGACGAAACCCTAATCCAATTACATAATATGAAATTGAAAGACGAAGAGGTAAAATTAAAGAAGTAAAGAAAAATTGGAAATGGAGATTAGGGATTTGACGGGGGAAGAAATTAGGGATTTGAGCACAAAGATGGGGAAAGTGTGAGCGATGGATATATAGTGAAGCTCGTTTAGGACAGCAGAGTTTCATGAACCGAGAGAGAGAAAGTAACATTTTCTAAAGACAAAAAATAAAAAAAAAATAAAAAAAGTAACTAAGAATTATATTTTTGGATTTTTTTTAATTTATGCATATAATATTTTATTCTAAAAATTGCCTTGTACTTTTTTTTCCTTTTTTTCTTTTTTATTTTCTTCTAAAAAATTGCATTGTATATTGGTCTATAATTTTAACCAAAATTCGATTTCTTATTTGATTGAGATTTTTCTCTCTTTCTACTTATTGTTTATATGTTTATGTTTTTTTTTTTTTGTCTTTTTTAAGTTTTATCAGGAAAAAAATAATTAAAAAAGTTTAGCTTGCACTTTTAATATAGATGGATAGTAGATCATTAACATATTTAAAAAAGTCGTGCGTTTTTTATTTATTATTATCATTAGCATTAAAAAGCTCACTGTCGTTTAAGTGGATAAAAGACGTAGTGTCGCATAAAGTTTCTTTGACTTTGACTTGATATATTTTCAGTTGAAAAACGACACCGTATTTTCATCCAAGTTGCTGTCGTTTATATGAGAAACGACATCAACAAGAAACGACATGGATTTATCCAATGTCTCACGTCGCTCCTTTGTCAAGGATAAATAAACGACGGTCGTCATGTGTTTTTGGGCCCTTATAATGGTCCAGGGAAGCTCTTGGCCCAACGTTTAGGCCCAGGTCCAACAAAGAGCCCATTAACCCTTCGCCATCATCAACCTCGAACAGAAAACCCCTAGCTAGAACCTCTCAGAAACCGGTCTCTGTGCTCCAAGCAAGCTCTCACCTTTCTTCGCCGCGACCGGTAGTCTCTCTCTCTCTCTCTTCTTTCTCTCTCTATATCTATACGCGTATATACAATTCACACAATCACACTCACTCTTCTCTTCTCTCTTCAGCTAATCATGTTGAAAATGAAAACTCCCAAGACAGGCAAGGCCAGGCGAGAGCTCGATAAGCGCGCCCCCAAACTGGTGAGTTCCAAAAAAAATCTTTGAATTTTTCGCAAAAATCAATGGCCAAAGATCTAATTTTCTGTGTATTTAACTTCTGGGGTTGGGATTTTTTGGGCGTAATTTTGCAGGTCGAGACCGGGAAGAAGACACTGATACTTCACGGGACGAAGACCAGTGGCGTGTTGAACAACGTATTGACGCAAATTTATCAGCTGAAGAAGGAAAGCGCCGTGAGATTCAGTCGAAAGAACGAAGATGTTAGGCCGTTTGAGAGCGGCGGTGAAGCTTCGCTCGAGTTCTTCTCTCTCAAAACTGATTGTAGTATGTTTGTAGTAAGTAGAAATCCAAGCAGATTTATGAATTTATGATCATCTTTCAAGTGCAATTTTTTCTTTTTTTGTTCATTTGTTAGTCGTGTGTTTTTTATACGATCCGAATTGGGTTTGTTGATTAGAGAATAATACGTTGTTGTAAGTGAAGTTTTTGTTTATTGCCATTGTTTGTGCTTTTAGCTTCTTCTCTCTAAGTGTTGTTGTGTTGATCACGGATTTGGATGCTTGTGAAGGAATTGAATGATTATTTAATTTTGCAATGAATTAACTGGCTGTAATGATCGTCTCATGCTCTAAACTTTTTGTTTCTTTGTTTTTGAGTCTGTGGAGCCTAAGTGTAATTCTTCATCATTGTTGGATTGTGCCGCCCCCAAAGCTCTCAAATTGAGCGTAAACTACTATAAATCTTTATTTGTTTTCTGTTTTGTACTTATAGCTCTCATTACTAAAGATTAGAGCTTTGACCCGTAACACTTTGGAACTTCCCAAATTCTCGTATGGAAAAACTGTCCCCCTCATGTTTAGTAGTTAGCTACCTTGGTGAAAATTTTTCAGTTTTTTTTTTTTTTTCCTCGCAGCAAATCGAGAGGCGGAAATGATTACCACGTACTCTTAAACCTTGTTTCTTTGGCATATCTTGATTCCCCATTTAGAAAAACTGAACCCCTCCTTATGTTTAGTAGGTAGCTAGCCGAGATGAAAAATTTATTAGCTCTTTTCCTTTGTTAGTGATTTCCTTTTACTTTAAACATCTTTTCAATGTTTTTTATTTCCTTGTTTTGCAGTTTGGTTCCCACTCAAAGAAGCGGCCTGACAATCTTGTAATTGGGAGGACTTATGACCACCACATATATGATCTTGTAGAGGTTGGGGTTGAAAATTTTAAACCTCTGGAATCATTTTCCTATGATAAGAAACTAGCTCCAAAGGCAGGGTCGAAACCTTTTATTGCTTTTATCGGAGAAGGGTTTGATAGCGTAGAAGAGTTGAAACATTTGAAGGAAGTTTTACTGGACCTGTTACGAGGAGAGGTGCATCTTCTTTTCTTCAATTCATCTGCTGTTTTTCTTTTAGTCTGGGGATGTTGCTTATACAATTTTGTGCAGGTTGTAGAAAATCTAAATCTTGCTGGAGTGGACCGTGCGTATATATGTACAGCTGTATCCCCGAATAGAGTTTTCTTTACTCACTGTGCTTTACGGCTTAAAAGATCTGGCACAATTGTACCAAGGATGGAACTGGTAGAAGTTGGCCCATCCATGGATTTTGTAGTTCGTCGACATCGTCTACCTAATGAAAGGCTAAGAAAAGAAGCTATGAAAACAGCCAAAGATAAGGCCAAGAAGAAGGTTTGATAACTTAAATTCTTCCTTATCATATTGTCTTGTAGCCAAGTAACACATCAATAATGTGATTGTTGTTTGTTCATGGCAGGAGAAAAACGTTAGCAAGGATGTAATAGAAGGCAAGATTGGAAAAGTATACATTCCAGATCAGAAGGTAAAAGGGAATTGTAGTTTCATTCAATTTCATGTCTTAAATTAGGCAACACAGTTAATTCTCCAATATTTGTTCTTGTATACAGAAGAACAATGGCTATTTTAATTTCATGCTGCTTTTTTTTTTTTTTTTTTTTTTTTTTTTTTGGTGATTGGGCATTTAGGTTGGAGAGATGGCTTTACCTAACAAAGCGAAGGGAGTGAAGAGGGAACGCCGTGAAGCTAAACTGAGGCATGGTGAGGGCAACAAGCATGCATCGAAAAGGCAAAAGGAAGATTCTCAGTAATTCTTGTTCACTCTTTTTATTGACTTATAGAGGTTCACTTGAAGAGAAGCCTAATGGAGAAGAGATTATAGACGCTTGAAATCTCTTCTTCCTTGTGTCACAGATTGACCTGACTGTGATATATCTTTAGATACCATGTCGAGGATGAATTGTACCATTTTTGTGTTAAATTATGTCCGAATATGACATTATATTGTCATCCAATTGAGTTTTCCAGTATTTAAATTGTTTGTAATACCACCTTTTTTCCCCTCGGTGTCAACACACAGGCTCTCTCTTGATGCTTACTAAGGTAATTCATCCATAAAAGGCGAATAGATAGTTAAACAAAGGTTATGTTACAGATCATGAATGCATGTTAAGATGATTTAGGCAGGCAAGAAGGAATATGGCAAAAGTACAATATTCAATTCAGTATATCCAAATCCAATTTACAAGCCTTCTAGAGAAAGAAAAAACAATAGAAAATGGTCCACAAGACCGCCAAATATATATGTACACACACACACACACACACACACACATCCCTTTTTAGTATAAGGGTCGGTGATTGTACTCTGATACGTCCTATTGAGGTCCAAAAAGTAGGTGTGGGCATTTCACCGTATCAAATGGGACTCCATTGGCACTAATTGAATGTCATTTGGAAGCCATATCAGTTTCCAAAAGAATGTCTTCTGAAATTTCACCACCAACCGTCCAACACCATACCTGCTTACCTCTTAAAGATGCATAGAATTTGGCATCAAAACTGGAGCCATTAGTCAATTCCAAGGTCATGATGAAACATTTCCAAAAAAAAAAAAAGAAGATGAAGAAGACTATAAAGAGCGGATGAAAACCATACGATCCATACCTGCCAGAGAAGGCAATCTAGTATAATAAGCAAAGCAAACCCCAGTTGATGCACGAGGCTCTCTTCCAAGAATCAGATCACATTCCTGCAGTTTCCACAACTTAAAGAATACTTGTAAGCAAGAATATGATAAATTGCAGATTATAAATAACTGTACCTTCATGAAATGTTGGCAATATTCACATAAGTTATCATCTCCTACTGAAACAATTAGAGGGAGAAATCTAGTAATAAAGACAAAAACTGAACTTGGGAAATTACTAACTACAAACGAATTATATTATAAATAAATCGTCCAATCAAACCACAATAACTGGGACCAGCAAGTGCATCAAATGCACAAGCAAAAAATCTATCTACTAATGTTTAGCCATATTTTTTAGATAATATCTTTTGGTTGACCAGCTTGACTTGCGGGTTGATCAAATAGTGCTTCATCAGCTGGCCACTTGTTGATTCCAGAACCTCCTTCCACCTGCAATGAACCCAAGTCCCACAAATCGAACATCCCGCTCATCATTCCAAGCTCCAGCGCTTCATAGGTCGCCGGAGAATCCAACATCTCATTGCCACCACTAGACATACCACCACCAGCAGCATCAAGACCCATGTTCCATATATCCTCCTGTTTGCTGGTGGTTTCCATGCCTGTGGAAAAGAGTTCTGGGAAACTCTTCTCCATAAAATCCTTCGGGAAAGAAACATAATACTCGGGACCAACCTCTTGCTGTAGGCTCAGAATGCCCTTTCCTTTGAAAAGGGGATCTTCAGTTAGCATGCTTGATGCCCCTTCGCCTGCTAGATTTTTACCAAATACCTGCATTGCTGTTATATCATCTGGTAAAAGCAAGTCATCAGGTGCGACAACCTCAGATTGAAATGGCATGTTTTCTTTGTTTAAAACCGGGTTCCCCGCCATACCTTGTTCGGTAAGAAATGGATTCAAATCTGGGCATCCAGAGGGTATGGTCAGGTTTCTCAAACCAGGACTGTACTTCACTAACCGCCCTTCCATGGAAGAATCAGGTTCACTAGCTTCGTGTTGCTGATGAGTCACGAATTTCCTCCGCGCCCTTGACGAGCCTATTTCTTTCTGTTCCACCTTTTGCTTAAGCTTCGCTATGAATGATGGGTTCTGAACCATCTTCGTGAAGAAAGAGACCATCTGCTTCTGTTTTTGCTCCACAGATTGGAGCCTCTTGTTCACTGATTCCACAAGGTGAACTGTCCCACGCTGCTGCTGCTGCAACTCGACAACCTCCTCCATCAGCGCGCTCTTCTCCTTCCTCAACCT